GTCGCCGCCCTGCCCGGGCCTCGCTGCCGCCCCCGCGGGTGTCTTCTTGCCACCTGGAAATCAGACCCGAAATTAGAACCGGGGAAGCCCTTAGCCTTCCCCGTCCTCCACCAGCTCATATGTCTTAGATCGGATGGACTATAACATTCAAAAGACAGATTATCTTACAACTCGGTTCGTTTTAGCATGACGGGTTACATTTTAACTTGCAGGGTATATAACCTTGAGTTACCGAAGGCAGCTAACTTTAGGCTGCTATCCTTGGTCGCGTTGCCACTGCTGAGGGGCGAGGTTTTAAAGACATGGGTCAATTCCTAATTCTTTAACTAGTGCCGTTCTTCTGTTCTAGGTCCTTGACAAAAACCATCGTTGAGTAGAGCTCTAGTGCAGTTTATGCCAGTATTTTATAGGCGACATTTTCGAACTATGTGAAGATCCATTTTAAGAAGATTTATTCCTCTGTGATGGAGAAGTATGAAAAAATTGGGAAAATTGGCGAAGGATCCTATGGAGTTGTTTTCAAATGCAGAAACAGGGACACGGGTCAGATTGTGGCTATCAAGCGGTTTCTGGAATCAGAAGACGACCCTGTCATAAAGAAAATCGCCCTTCGAGAAATCCGAATGCTCAAGGTAATGGATTTCTTTCAAATGAATTTTCAAGGATTAAAAAATTGAAGTGAATCATATTATGTTAAATAATGCCTTGAGATCTGGTTGCTTCTCCTTTCTTCATGGACTTTTGTCCTGTGATATAATTGGGACATCTGTGCACAAGTCACCACTTATAAAATGAACTAGAAAGCAGAGACATAAATTCAGGGCAAGGTGCTGTTCACTTTCGGAGATGCTGTGGGATATTTTCATTTTCTTTCCATAGCTTCTCTTTCATGTAACTTGTAGGTCTGGTTCTTTGAGAGCCATCATCTTTGATAGTATAAGAACTTACGACAACTCATTTGCTAGCATTCACGATTTTTAAACTTCAAGGCTATCTTCTGTTGATGTTCTCAGTATATTAAGAGAATTAGTCATTCACCTGTTTTCAAACCACTAGGAAGCTGACAGGTTTTCATTACACCTCACACTTATCTACCGCTGAGCATCATCATGCCCTGTCTTGAGAAGGATTCTTTTCAAAGAAGTGAAATGATCACTTTTACAATTTTATTAGTTAACCATAGGAGGCCATAATGGGGGGGAGGGCGGGGAGGGTTTGTTTATTATAGGCTGAAACTATTTTTTCCTCTAATGTAAAGAGCCTTCCTTTCTGAATTTCTGTGAAACTGAAACCCAAACATCAAGGTAGAATGTGACATGTAATGAAAGCAGTGGTGGTGAACTCGGTTTCAAATAGTCAGGGCTTCTGTGTTCTGATGTGTGTAACTAACTACATGAGAAGGAAAGAGCAACCTTGTAGGAGATGAGTGGGACACTCGGATTTTTTCTTATTCCTGCGTCTCCATTTTCTCCAGAAAAGCCTTCTTTTCTCCATGACTTGAGTATGTGGGTTGTCTCTGGATAAGGACCCTGAATGCGAAGTAGCAGGCTTTGGATAAATTTAAGTGGGTGGGTAATGGGAACACTTTCTCAATTTGAGTTTAGAATGTTCTTTACCAGCAAGATGTTATCTATTCTAAGACACTTCCAAACCACTACTACCCTTTCCCTAAGTGCTGGTGAGACCAGCAGTGTTTACCTATCACACCGCCTGGACCCTGGACCCGCTCTACCCTCCCTGCCCTCTTTACACAGGGAGAGGTTCTCATCATTTCTCTTGGGCTGATAGGCAGTTTTTCACTTTATCAGGCTATTCCTAGAGGAAAAGGTGAAAATTATATTTCAAAGGGTGCATTTATTAAAAAAAAAAAAGAAGAAGAAGAACATCTGTTTGTTTCTTTCTGATTCTGAAGGTCACCTGTGAATGCCTCGCTGAAACCTCTCATCACTCTTTAGCAATACTGCGTTTACAAGTGTAGCTCACTGAATTAATTGAGTTCTTGTGGGATGAGAACCTCCCCTTTGTATCTATCAACTAACTACCTGGTGCGTAGTAGGCCTCCAATAAATGGTATTGTCGGATAGATAAAATTATTTAAAAAAAAAACTCTTGGAAAGGGTAGGTGCTGCCAATAAATTAGGAAGTCAGATGTATTTTGTTGAATAACTGAATATCGACATGCTCTAAAAGGCAGAGTCGTGTGCACAGGAGCCTGATTTCAAGGCACACAGCACCCCACTCTCCTGATCTACAGGAGGTGATGAGCCTAGATTTCGTTAGAGTCTGTCACTTTAACTCCTAACATTTCAGAATTCTGTGATATTCCTAACAAATAATGGGTACTTATTTGTTGAATAAATGAATTGAGGATATATTAAATAAAGTCACATTTTCTTCATTAATTTACTCAGTAAATACTTATGGAGCCCCATTGTGCCTAAAACAATGTTTATACAAAGTTATACGACCCTATCTTTCAGGCGCATAATTCATGGAAGGGAAATGAGATGAATTTCCCCTCGGCTCTCACTCCTGGTAGACTGGGTTTCTAATGGACAGGGCCTGTGTCATTTATCTTGTGTCCCCATGCCAGGCAAGAAGCCTCTAACGGCTTATCGAATAATGAAAATAAAGTGTTTGGAGGCACATTTGAGCTAGACTTTGAGATGTTTAGGGAGTCATGGAATGAGAGATAAGATATTCAAGGCAGACAGTCTATCCTAGGTGAAGGTGCGTAAGTGGAAAGCAGTATATTGAGGGAGCACAGGTAATAACCCCAAAGCCTTGGCCAAGATGCCTGCTAGGTACTAAGAGGCTGGAGAGAGAAGGGAAGGGAAAAAAGCCAGAGTCCAGTGGAATAGGGTGTAAGGAATTTCCTGCAATACAGGTCTGGCCCTGGGATGTGATGGTTAGCACATAGCTGCATTTTGGTCCCAGATGGCCTTTGAGGTTTGGAGCCTGACTGCAGGGTACATGTTGTAGCCCCTGAAAACAAGAAATTGTTGAGGTATAGGCAAATGTTTTAGGCCCCCATCTGAGGTGGAATTGAAGGCAGAGCTTCAGTGCCCAGGGGAAGGAGGAATACCAAGCCATGAGCTTGTGGGCCCACAGAGAGGTTGCAGCTCAGCGACTCAGTGAATTTGAGTTTTTAAGGTTTTCCTTGCATATCCTTCACTGAGCTGTGGCTTTTAATGGTCTCTCCCTGTTAAGGTCAGAAACTAGGAGCCAGGAGGAATGAGGCTGAGGTACTCCAGTGACCTTAGCCAAAGCAGGTGAGAACTAAAAGTCAGGAGAAATGAGGCTGAGGTACCCCAGTGACCTTAGCCAAAGCAGGTGAGGACAGGCAGGGGCTGACCCTGTGACTGCTCCCATTATGATAAGGAAAGCTAGAAAAATAGGTCAAGACCAGATGTAGAAGGCCTTGAATGCCGGGGTATGGAGTTTGACTTTCTCCTGAAAAGAAGGGAAACTAGCGAAGATTTTTTTTTTAATTAGAAAACTGTTATTTGTGGAGTTTTGGATTTCATGGACGAGTAAAATTAAAAAAAAAAAATTTTTTTTGCAAATTGAGATAAGGTTATCAGCATTTTAAAAAAAACAAGTATTGTCACTATCACTTCATAAAAAAGGACATTTTAATATTAAAAGTCTAGGAAGGACACAGTTTTAGAAAAAAGCGGTCTTCCCAACAAAGAGAAGTTGATAACTATATATAACATTTATATATATACATTTCTCTGGTGCGTGTAAGTGTATATGTATAATCGTGTGTCTGTCTGTTCATCATTGTCCTTATTTTTGTCAGTTCACTCTCTATTGATGAAAATGGTGATATCATTTGTTTTGTGCAGCCTAAATCTCATGAAAGTACTATATCTAGGAATGAAAGGATTCTCCAGGTCAAGTAATGTCCTACTTAATAGGACCTATATCTGATACAACAAAATACTAGTACTACGAAAGAATGTAATGGTCCCTTGGATTTTATAATAGAATTGGACCTATATGCATCCTCAGAGAAGTCCTTTTGTGCATGTTTTTTAAACTGTTTATTTAACAATTAAAAGCAACTCCCAAAAGTTGCTATGGACTCTTTTAAAAATTGTATTTGTTTCTTCTTAAGCAGATAAGATCATGGAAATGAATTGTCCAGCAATCAGTTGTGTAATTTTTAAGGCAGCACATCTATAATTCTTCCCATTCTTGGTGTGAAAACCTATATGAAGGCGTAGCTATCCATTAGGAAAGGCTTTTGAAGATGACAATTATTATCAAGAAATCTGTTTTGCTAATATTCTTAGAAGACATTTATCTGAAAGTTTGAAACACTTTAAAAAGTATTATTTCATGTCGTTTGGGGAAAAAAAGTGACAGTTTTGTGAGACAGATTCAGTATTTGTACTAATAAATTGCTTCCTAGACTAAATATAATTCACTCTTCACCAAAAGGTCCTACTGTAGTTAACCTTTTAATGTTTTAATTTCGAATCACAGTTTTTCTAGGTTACATAATTAGGCTTTTTAAAAAATAAACAATTGCTCTAGATAAAATTAGCCAGCTCTTACTCTACTTTAAGAACAAAATTAAGTTCCAGTCTAGTGACAGTAATAACATTACACTGCAATACCTGAGCTCAAAGTAGCTATCCTACTCTTTCTCAAACTCATTTTCCATTGTAGGAAAAAAAGGGAAGAATTCAATATTTTCAGTCAGTGTTTTGATGAGATACCTATGCATAATATAGTTGACGTGTTCATTGGGCAAGTTTTTACAGAACTCCTGCCATGTACCAGGCACTGTTCTGGGTTCCTGCCCTCACGGATGAGGAGAGACTGAGAGTAAATAAACAATTATGTTTCCAGTGGTGAAAAATAAAACAGGATAAGGAGGGAAAAAAAAAAAGGGGCTTGCTTTTTTATATAGGGTGGTTAGGAAAAGCCTTTCTGATAAATGACATTTGAAGAGACACTGGAAGGAAATGCAAAGGGATGACTCATGCAGCTAACCAGGGACAAGCATTCCAGGCAGATGGAATAGTAAGTTCGAAGGCTCCATGGCAGGATCAAGAGATGTGTTATACACGTGTTCTGGTATGTCCTAGGAGGATAATATAGACTGTTGTGTCTGGAGTACAGTAAGTAAGAGTGAGGGTCACAAGAGGTGAAGTTAGAGAGGTAAGAGCATCAGACATCAGGGCCTCGTGGACCATGGTAGGGCCTATGGATTTTACTTTGAATGAGATGGGAGCCGTCAGAGGGTTTTGAGCAGAGGGATACCTTGGCATGACATATCCTAGAAGGATTTCTCTAGCTGCTGGTTGCTCCAGCCCCACAAGCAGAAAGATCATTTGGAAGGATTTTTGGAGTAATCCAGGTGTGAGGTGATGGAGTTTGGATCAGAGTGGTAGCAGTGGAAGTGGTCAGATTCTAGATTGATTCTGAGAGAAGAGCACACAGGAATCTGATGGTTGGATGAAGAATCAAGAATGAAAGTTCTTGACCTGAGTAACTGGAAGAATGAAGGGAGACCCACGTGCAAATTTGGAGAAAGGAAATGAAGAGTTCTATTTTAGATATGTTAGGTTCGAGATGCAAATCCAAGGAAACTGTAAAGTAGGCAATTAAATATACA